TATATATATATATATATATTGTTTCGAAAAGTATTTTTGAAAAATATTTTTAAAACATTTCTATAAAATACTCTTTGAAATAATATAATATTATAAAAAATAATTTTCAAATACTTCTCGAAAATACTTTTTCAAATAGTATATATATTGTTTTAAAAAGTATTTTTTGAAACTATATTTTTTCTTCGACAAATGGTGTCATGGATAGATAATGTTATATTTGTTTGTGCTTTAGATGGGTAACAATAAGAGAGAATGCTTGAAAGTGTTGTAGAGTGCAATTTTATATTCATAAAGATGAATATTATTGAAAGAAAATAATGAATTGGGTTTGTGGGATGAGGAAGGAAGGGGGAGGGAAATAATGGTGAGTGTTTGAAGAAAGAATATTTGAAATAGTTTATGAAAAATAAAATCTTTCAATTAAAAATAAAATATAAGGGTATTTATGAATGTGCTAAAAAAATATAAAAAAAAAGAGGTTTTGAATGTGTATATATCAAAATCCTTTTTTTAAAGGTTGCTGAAAATTTGAACCATACTTGAAAAACAACATAAAAAAGTTTAAATTCACAAGACAAGAAGCTTCAGAGGGTGAAGTTTAAATAGTTTCAAGACTAAAAAGTTAATTAAACTTATTTTCTTATTCTAAATTTATTGATTTCACTTATTTTCATTTGAATAAGTTCATGTGTTTTTATCTTTTCCACGTCTGATTTTAGTGCTTTTAAACTTAGGGAGTAATTGCTAATGAAAATACTATGATTCAAGGGTTTTCTTAGCTTATAAATAAGAGCCTCTTGAAAGTAATCAAAACTGGATTTACATATTTATGAAATAAGTATTTCTCCATTCTGAGATATAATAACTCTACAATGCCCATTCTATCCCCGTGTCACAGGTAGAGTCAAGTTCTTCTATGATTCCTTTACTTATTTTTTTAAGACATTTCCTTAATAAAATTGCATCAAGTCCCTTTTGCTTTTTCACTTCTTTCTTTTACGCAAACGTGGGAGCTTATCATTTGATATATAGGTTGACATGCTTCCATGTCTTGAGAATACTATAAATACAGCTTTTTGCTTACTACGAGACAACAATCAAACAATTGTAAATTACCAATTCCAAAACTGCTATTAGAGTTGTTCAAAACGAAATCACGGTTGTGGGTTTAGACACCAAACAAAAAGTAGACTATAGACAGAATAAAATCTAGCATCCTTTTCATATCACATTCTCAATAACATCAATATATGAACAATTATTACTCAATAAGAGTCGTCATGTACATAGGTGGGAGATATCGACTTCCCATGCCACAACAATGTACAACAAATTCATTATGTTGCAAGACATATAGGGGATATATGATTAGATTACAACTATTATTGCTCATAACAATGATTAGATGACGTCAAACTTAACAAAAAGGCTAAAGAAGAAAGTTATCTATCATATGGTAAACCACATCAGCACCATCAGAATTCAACCAATATGTTTTCACCTGGGGGACCAAAGCAAAGCAAAACAAATTAGAAAAAGAAACAAGGAACATCAAGCTGGAGCTGTGCCCATTATCTTGCAAGATTGGCTTGTTTTGCGAAAACAATCTATATATGATTGTTAGTTTAATTGATTATTCTCAACAAAAAAAAAAAAATACGAGAAGATTAAGAGCAAGAGTACGTTAAAAATCAATTACAGAAAATCTAATATGCGAAGCCAAAAATGCTTAACTTGTATCAAGAAAAAAAAACATATGTATAAATTGTATGAACCAAACTTGTTACATGTAAAGTCAATTATAGGTCCATCAAATATTTGGTAAAAGCATTGCCAACTGATCATTGAAGTTGATGAAGCTTGTGATAATGTCTCTTGACTTGATCTTCTCTTTGGAGAAATGGCAGTTAACCTCAATATGTTTAGTCTTTTCATGAAAGACTGGATTAGAGGCAATATGTAAAGATGCTTGATTATCACAAATGAGTTTCATTTGTGTTATCTCTTCAAACTTGAGCTCTTTAAGTTGTTTCAATCATGAGTGCAAAAGTAAGTAGAGCCATAGCTCTATATTTTACTTCAGCACTTGATCTTGCTACAACATTTTGCTTTTTACTTTTCCAAGATACCAAGTTTCCTCCGATCAGCCCACAATACCCAAAAGTGGATCACCTATCACTAGGAGAATTAGCTCAATTGATATTTGAATAGCTAACTATCTAAGCATGTCCCCTATCTCATTCATGAGACCTTTGCCTAGGGCACTCTTAATGTATTTCAATATCTGAGTTACAACATTCAATGGTCCTGGGAAGGAGAATTAAAAAATTGACTCACCACACGTGCTACAATGAGATAATTTAATCTCTTATATCTCCTAGGCTCCGATAACGACTCTCCCTAATTGGGTAGCAATTTGACATTAGGATCCATATGAGTGTCCATGGACTTGGCATTTAACAGGTCAGTTTCCTTCAAGATATCAAGGGCATATTTCTTCTAAAAGATTATGAAACCATCTTTGGATGGAGAAACTTTGATACTTAGAAAATTGTTGAGAGAAATGGTAAATGCAATGAACATTTCCTTGTGTATTGCAAAACAAAAGATATGTTTATATACAAAGTAGTGGGCCTAGGCCCATGTGATAAAACTATATCCTACACTCCCCATCAATCTGGTGTATATAGATCATATGCACCAAGCTTGTTACAAATATAATCAACCTAGGATCCCGTAATGATTTGGTGAAGACATCTGCCAACTAATTAGTGGAGTTAACAAACTGAGTAGAAATGCCCCCAAATAAAATCTTCTCGTGAATGAAGTGACAATCTATTTCAATGTATTTGGTCCTCTCGTGAAATACTGGATTTGAGGCAATATGAAGGGCAGCTTGGTTATCACATATGATAGTCATTTGTGTAACTTCGCCAAATCTCAGTTCTTTAAGCAACTATTTGAGCCATATAAGCTCACAAGTAGCAAAGGCCATAGCACAATATTTTGCTTCTACACTAGATCTTTCCATTACATTCTGCTTCTTACTTTTCCAAGAAATCAAGTTATCACCAATAAAGACACAATAACCTGAAGTGGATCTCTTGTCAGATGAAAAGCTTGCCTAATCTGCATCTAAGTACCCCACAACTCGAGTATGATTGTTGTAGCCATATAATAAACCTTTTCCTGGAGCACCTTTGATATGTTTTAGAATGCAGATGACTGCATTCCAATGTCCTGTACATGAAGAATTGAGAAATTGACTCACCACACTAATCGCAAAGGAGATGTCAGGACGAGTTACCATGAGATAGTTTAGTTTTCCAACCAATCTTCTGTACCTCTCAGGATCTGAGAAAGGAAGAGACCCATGACAAACAAGGTCCAATCACAGAACAAATAACAGATCAGGGTAGAGGACATCAGGGCGAGTCTGACGTTGATGAGCATCCCCAGAACAATCGCCAAATGCGTTGCCACGCGCAGCGACAGACGAAGACTAAAGAGAAATTGCACGAGAACTAGATCGATGCATGTGGGCACGTGCGACCTTCGTTCGCCACGCGACAGGTGGCATTGGGTTCATCGGAACAAGGCGAGCTGGGTGGGTGGGCCGCAGGCCAAAAAATAGGGAAAAAAATCAACAAAAAGAGGCACGACAAGGTGGGTAGCCGAAAAATGGAATGAAACACGTTTTCCGAGCACCAATGAATAATGGGTCCACTAGGAAGTCAAGGATCAGGCTCTAGATACCATGTTGAGAGAAATGGTAAATGCCATGAACATTTTCTTGTGTATTGGAAAACAAAAGATATGTTTATATATGTTAGATATAGTCTGACCACATGGGCTTAGGCCCACGACTTTTTATATAAACATATCTTTCATTTTGCAATACACAAGGAAATGCTTTATTCCATTTACCATTTCTCTCAACATGGTATCTAGAGCCTAATCCTTGACCTCCCGGTGGACCCACTGTTCATCAGTGCCCGGAAAACATGTCTCATTCCATTTTCTGGCAATCCACCTCACCGTGTCTCTTTCCGGCCGTTTTTCCTCTATTTTCCATCGTATTTTCTTTGTTGCCGCCGCTGTCGCCGTCAGCTTTCCGGCCGGCGACCCACCCACTCAGCTCGCCTTCCTCCGGCGAACACAACGCCACTAGTCGTGTGACAAACGGAGGCCGCACGCGTCCACACGTGCTGACTCCGTGCTCTCGCGGTTTCTCTCTCATCAGCGTCGGACTCGCCCCGACGTCCTCTACCCCGATCTGCAATTTTTTCTTGATCGAACTTGGTTTGTCACGGGTCCCTTCCTTCTCGGGCCATTTTCTCTCTCCCGTGGTTGTCTCTCTCCTCTCCCAGCATACATGGCTTCTCCTACTGTTGTCCGGCTTGACTCCTCTATTTTTACTAACTATGTCAATGTCCCACTTTCAATTAACAAGTTAGATGGAACCAATTATGACACTTGGGCTTCTGATATCAAGCTTTGGCTTAAGGGACAGGATTATGTTACTCACCTTACCCAGACAGTTGCTTCCGTTGATGAGAAAGATTGTCCTCGTTGGTCGAAAATTGATGCTCAAATTTGTCGTGTCCTTAAGTCGACCATTCATCCCTCCCTCAAGCAAATTTTTCGTGCTCATGAGACCTGTGTTGATGTATGGGAACAGGCACAACTGTTGTACACCAATGATACTCAACGTCTCTATGGTGTGTCAAAATCTCTAGAGTATCATTTCTCCACGACGCCTTGAGGGCTCCATGGTTGAGTATTTGGGCAAAGTTCAGGCCTTCTCCATGACTTCAATGAACTTTTGCCTCTCGTTGCCACTCTTGCCAAGGAAATAGAGCAACGCCAAACTTTCTTTATGTTGATGGCATTGTATGGGTTTCCTGATGAGTACTCCTCCATTCGTGATCAGATTCTAGAATCTCCGACCGTGCCTACCTTGAACTCAGCTTGGCCCGCCCTGTTGCGTGTGCCCTGCAAGTCTTCCCTTGACATATATTCTTCCGCTCCCACTGGTGACTCCTCTGCTTTGGTTTTTCAGCGTGATGATCGTCAACGTTCTCGCAAACTAGGCAAAGGTCGTCTCAAGTGTGATCACTGTCACAAAATTGGTCACACAATTAATTGCTGTTACGTCTTACATGGTCATCCCACTCGCCCTGCTACTGTTGTTGCCCACACTACCTCCCCTGCCTCTATTGCATCTGGTTCTACCCCCTCTGATGGGTCTGGATCTGGACCTCCAGCTCTCTTTCATGACTTCCTTAAATGGTATGAGGAACGTCAGGCTTCCAATTCCACTGCCTCTGTTGCGCACACAGGTCCTTCGTTTGTTGGTCTCACTCACTCCACTTCTCTTGGCCCTTAGGTCCTAGATTCTGGTGCTACTGATCATATTTCTGGTAATCGGTCTCTTTTCTCCTCTCTTTCTACTTCTAGTTATTTACCATCTATCACTATGGCTAATAGCTCTCGCGCCACATCTCAAAGGAAGTATGCATTGGATATTTTAGAGGAAACTGGCCTAATGAGTTCCAAGCCCATTGATACACCTATGGATCCCAATGCTAAACTCCTACCAAGTCAGGGGGAGCCTTTCTCAAATCCTTAGAGGTAAGAAGATTGGTTGGGAAATTGAACTATCTCACGGTAACTCATCCTGACATCTCCTTTGCAATTAGTGTGGTAAGTCAATTTCTCAATTCTCCATGTGTAGGACATTAGAATGCAGTCATCCGCATTCTAAAATATATCAAAGGTGCTCCAGGAAAAGGTTTATTATATGGCTACAACAATCATACTCAAGTTGTGGGGTACTCAGGTGCAGATTGGGCAAGCTCTTCCTTTGACAGGAGATCCACCTCAGGTTATTGTGTCTTTATTGGTGATAACTTGATTTCCTGAAAAAGTAAGAAGCAGAATGTAGTGACAAGATCTAGTGCAGAAGAAAAATATCGTGCTACAGCCTCTGCTACTTATGAGCTTATTTGGCTCAAAAAGTTGCTTAAAGAACTGAGATTTGGCGAAGTTACACAGATGACTCTCATATGTGATAACCAAGCTGCCCTTCATATTGCCTCAAATCCAGTATTTCACGAGAGGACCAAACACATTGAAATAGATTGTCACTTCATTCGTGAGAAGATTTTATCTGGGGACATTACTACTCAATTTGTTAACTCTACTAATCAGTTGGCAGATGTCTTCACCAAATCATTACGGGGTCCTAGGATTGATTATATTTGTAACAAACTTGGTGCATATGATCTATATACACCAACTTGAGGGAGAGTGTTAGATATAGTCTGACCACATGGGCTTAGGCCCACTACTTTGTATATAAACATATCTTTCATTTTGCAATGCACAAGGAAATGCTTTATTCCATTTACCATTTCTCTCAACAATATACAAAGTAGTGGGCCTAGGCCCATGTGATAAAACTATATCTAACAAAAGTATTGAAGCTGACCAAAGTCTTTAGTTTGGAACTTGTGTGAAGTACTATTTCAAGTTGAGAATCCTATGATGATCACTGCCTGTAATGACAATATCATCCACATAGATTACGAGATATATGTGTTAAGTCTCAATTTTACCTCTTTTTGGATGAGGCTTATTGAACAAATTCCACTCATCCTTTGAACCATTGCAATATAATTGTTCTCTTTTTGGTTCATTTTGTGTGCAGATATAACTAACCCAAATTCATCTAACAATACCTTAATCCACCTCATTTTTTGTGCAGGTATTGAGGAAGAGTGGAAAGTTGAAGACTCTTAGGATTGGAAACCTAAGAAGCTAAGGAGCAGAGAAGAGGTTCTGCGCCGGGCGCAAGGTGATCCGCGCCAGGCGAGCAAAACAGAGTATCTCACCTCTGGGAGCCATTGCGCCGGGCGTAATGTGAATTGCGCCGGGCTTGTCCTAAGGCAGAGAGTATCTGGAAGGCCCCGCGCCGGGCGCGAAGACTTATGCGCCGGGCGCGAAACCCTAATCTGACTCCCCAAGCTCGTATTTGAAGCCATTTTCGGGGGAGAAACCCCCATTCTCACATTGGGCGCCTCCAGGAGCTGCGGAAGGGATTCCCAGGGCTTGGGATCGTCCGTGTGCGGATCTTTCCTTCGGTTCTTCACTTCCTCTTCCATCTCTATTTTGTATTTGCCCTCTTTGTTGAGTGGTTTCACCCATTTTGTGGGGTTAGATGTAACCAACGTACTCTATTGTAATCTTTACGGTTTTAATGATATATATACATGTTGTTTTATTCATTGTTGTGTATGTTTCTATTCTTAATGCTTGCTTTGGATTGATCACCCTTTGCATGATTTAAGGTTCCATGGGTATTGGAAAATAACCTTTGAAACTAGTTCTGAAACATATGCCTAGTGGTGATTGTATCTAGGGATAGAGCTTGACCCATTAGTAGTCTTAAACCCTAGCCCGTAATGCGGGTGTAGGTATTGGGTACTCAAGGGATTGATATTCAATATCCGCACCTAGGCTCTTGCTCTAAGGGATTAGGTTTGAGTAAACTATTGGGTTGACTAAGCAATGAATTTAACAAGAGATTAAGGATACATTAGTGTTACGTTCGGTGAAATCTGACCCCCACAGCCTCACAATACCATTATCCCATTTCTACTCTTTCCCATTCTAAAACTAATCTTTTTATAGTTTTAACATTCCAATAGTCATGCTCTTCATCTCACATTTACATGACAAACTATAAATTGGAATTATTCTTTAGTCACGAATAGTCAATAAATGCTTATTTTACCTTCTAATCCCTGTGGATACGATATTTTTACTACTTGAACGGCCGGTATACTTGCCGTGTTTGAGACCGTTGATAGAATTAAACTAAATTTCAATTATAACAAAAGTACTTCAACGGAAATCTCAACAATATGCATCCTTGAGGTGAATGGAAATAAAAGACAGAGTGATTGACTTCATTGCGAACCATATTGAATTATTACACAACAGTACAAAATTGACCAAACCAAGCTCAAGGGGATTGTTTTAAGTCCATACAGGGATATCTATGAAGCTAACAGACCGTAGTAGAGGATTTCCCCTGAGCAAGAAAACCTGGTGGTTGCTCCATGTTGACTTCTTCATCAAGATCACCATGTAGGAGTATCAAGTCAGAAGATAGGCCAATGTCAAATGGCAGCCATAGAGAATAGTAATATTAAATAAGTCATTTTGGCCACAGTGGAGAACGTATCCCTAAAATCTATAGCCCGTACACCTAGGTATATCCTTTTGCCACTAGGTGGGCCTTGAAGCGATCTATGGTCCCATCAAGGCCAACTCTAAGGGTGTAAAGCCACCAACACCCAATAGGAGAGTTGTTTGAAGGAAGATGAACCAAATCCCAAGTACCATTGCTCTGCCTAAAGTGCACACATCTCGTCAATTATTGTTTGTCTCCAATCTAGGTGAGATAATGCTAGACTTAGGGATAGGAACAAAAGACAAAGAAGAGAGGCAAGTAAAATGCAATGAAGAAAGACATTGATAACTAAGGTTAACATGGTGTGGAGATGGTTGTGAGTGGTAGAATACCTTTTCCAAAGCAACTGGATAATCGATGTCAGGGGGCAAGTCTGACTCTGATAAAGATGGTGTTGGGGAAGATTCTACAAGGCCTCTACTATATCTTCACTAGTTATTGTAGAGGATGGTGTAGGAATGCCAGCAGGTTATTGATGATGTTGATATGTTTAAAGAAGTTGCACAACCTAGGGCTCCGTTGTTTGGGCATCTTGGGTTACCATAAAGTCATTCTTGAACAGGGGTATTAGTTGGAGAGAGAGCAAACTCAAAATAAGGGACAAACTCAAAAAATGAGACATTTGGATAGTAGAGAAACAACAATAACCTTTATGTGAACAATGATAACCAAGGAAGACACATTTGATGGATCATGTTGAGAGTTTGTCACAACCCAAAATTAGATTGTGAGCAAAGCATGTGGAGGCTAAGACACAAAAGGGAAGTATGTGAAGTGGGGAATGGGGAAATAGGACAAAACAAGGTACCTAGTCATTTAGGATAGTGGATGACATGCAATTGATAAGGTAGCAAGCCGTGAGAACCCTCAAACATAGAGGAACAAAGCCAAAGAGAAGAGTCTCAGTAGTTTCAACATGATGCTTGTTTTTGCGCTCAACCAACCCGTTTTGTTGAGGGGTGTGGGCACAAGACGTTTGATGAAGAATACCCTTCGACGTCATAAATTTTTGAAACATATGAGATAAATTTTCACGTCCATTATCACTAGGAAAATAATGTATAGGAATGCCAAATTGAATTATTTCATGATAGAATTTCTCAAACATGGAAAATAATTCAGACCTATTTTTCATTAAACATAGCCCATGTACAATATGAAAATTCATTAATCAACGTGACAAAATATTTAAATAAGACTAGGTAACAATATGAGAAGGACCCCAAACATCTAAGTGAACCAAGGCAAATGGAGAGGTAGCTCTTTTATTAACTCGATGAGGAAATGAATTATGAGTGTTTCCCTAACTAACACGACTGTCTTCTAAAGCTTTGGTAGACTAGAATGTCCCAACTAAGAATGTAACATCAATGGAGACATAGTGGTTGAGCAAATTTGTGGCAACCTGGGGAGATAATATAGTTCATGAGACTCACATCTGACACCAATCATCTATCCCAAAGTTTGCTCCTATAGGGTAACAAAATCTTTAGTAAAGGTAATGACACAATCAGGGGGTTGGGTAAGACGGTAAATAGAAAGTAGGTTAAAAGGACAATCTGGTACATATAGGACAAATTCAACAGTAAGTGATGAGAGAGGATGTGTGGTGCCAATGCCTTGGGGTTGTATGTGAGAGCCATTAGTAGAAGTAATAGTGGGTAAATAGCCAAACATAGAAAGGAAAAAAAAAAAAAAAAAAAAAAGAGAGAGAGAGAGAGAGAACGATTACTAGAGATATGGTTACACACACCAAAGTCAAACAAAAAAAAAAAAAAAAAAAAAAAAAAAAAAAAGAGAGAGAGAGAGAGAGAACGATTACTAGAGATATGGTTACACACACCAAAGTCAAACACCCAAAGACCTAGGGAAGGAGATTATGAGTTGCAAGCAATTGATTTGCCAGTGTGTGCAACCAACCAAAGCATTTGTACGAGGGCTTTAGCAATTCCAAACCACTGGAGAAAGCCCTCATTAGTAGCTAGAGTAGCTCTGGGCTAATCAATGGACGGAGTGGAATCAGCAGGTGCATGAGCTACATTAGTAGTGCAAGGAGGCTTGCCAACAACGATCAATGGTATGGCCGAGGCAACAGCAATGTTCACACTTGAGACATATCTTCCGAATGGCAAGCTACACCCTGAGAACAACTAGGATTACTACTCTGGGAGGCAAGTGTAGAAGTATCACCTAGTGGAGGAGTGTAAACCATAGTATTCACTTTGAGAGGAATCCGAAGGGTAGAAGATGTCGAGGTCATATTAGGAATCATGGTTGACCCAAGAATCTAGCCTCGGTAAGTAGAATAACCATTATAATCATTAAGGGTTGCATGAACTCTTCCGAGATAGGCAGTCATTGAGCTATCAAATAGTTGAGGAGCAATAAGGAATCATGGTTGACCCAAGAATCTAGCCTCGGTAAGTAGAATAACCATTATAATCATTAAGGGTTGCATGAACTCTTCCGAGATAGGCAGTCATTGAGCTATCAAATAGTTGAGGAGCAATAAGAGTCATTAAATTGTGAGTGTCATTAGTATAAGGGGAATGCGCTGTTCAAATCTATTCACAAGTGATGTGAGGTTGGAAAATCAATTTCATAAAGCAGTGGAGGGTGCACTTGATCACACTGCATAGTTGAGCATCAATTTTCTCCCACTTGACACAGTTAGCTGCCACCACTGACTCAACGGTATTGGAAAGGTGGTCACAATACCCTAGGCCACTGATCCAAAGGGTAATATCAGAAGCCTAAGTAGGGTAGTTTGAACCGTCCAACTTCTCAGTCAATAATGGGAAGTTTGAAAAAATAGGAGTGTCAACCTTAGAGGGGTCTAAAGAGCCAGAAGAAGGCATATTCAGTAAATAAAATGCAAACGTACAATGTTAAAGGGTACCTGAGTCCTGAATAGTAGTTTGCACTATCGGGCCTGCCAAATGAGGTCAGATAGTGATGCAAGTCACGGGTTAGGGTCACTTGAGGGGGATGAACCAGCACAAGGTTTGCTGGCAATGAGTGTTGAATGCGCTGTCAAGCATTGTTGGGAGGGCCTGTTTGGTGCATGAAGGATGCCCGTTCAGGTGCATGAGGACAGGTATGGACTCAACATTTGTAGGGTTGAGTAGATCGCAGAATGACGAATCATTTTGTAGTGGTGGTGGCTGAAAAGGTCGCCACTACTGCAGGTGGTGGCTGGAAAGACACTACAAAGGTCGTTGGACAGGGGACACCAATCGATGATGCGAATTGAGGATGAAAATGGTTAGGAAAAAAAATTATCACCGTAAACAATGGGTCTATCAAGAAAAAAAAAAGTTATCGGAAACGTCTTTGCCGGACTCTAGATACCATGTTAAAGAGGAAAAACAGAGACATTTGAGAAAAATCATGTGTTTGAATACACAGCTGATGCAGGTTTACATAGGCTTATTACATTAATTATACATAAATAAAAGGATATTTTGTTTTATCTAAATCTAATACCATGCGGCCTATAAACGGCTAGTAACACAGAATATTATATTATGATTTTCACCCTATGAACTGCTATTATGACATAATATTATATTCTGATTTTCAATACTTTATAAAATGCTGTCAATTAAAATAATATTTAACAAAATCTCAAAAAACACACCAACATAGTGAATCAACCCAACCCAACCTGCCTTTCAACATATTGGGTCAGCGAGTTATGTGAGTTGGATTACACAGGTTGAAGGGTTGAATAACCAATTCAACTTGTTTTGGCTGGTTAAGTGGGTTGATTCATCAAGTTCAACCCACTTTCACATCTCTACTCCATATGACCTCTCATAGCTTATATTTAGGCTTGAGAATAAGTTTAACACTATTTTTGGCTGAAATTTATTGGAACTCATAATGGGGACCTCCATGATTTTGTTAGTCTTGATAAATTTCAACTAATAATACAGAGTGTTGCCGATAAGCTTTTTCATATTTTATTGTATCTGTTAGTCTGTTTATTGTTTAAATTAAAAGAAATTTGAAATTTGTGCAACTCATGATAATTTCAATAAGTTTAAGTAAGCCTGTATATTTGGATGCAATGTTTTTTTCTTTCAAAAACAATAATAAATGGTACCTGAATTGTACTGTGAGCAATGTAGCGCTGTTTACTTTTCCGAAAGCTAACATCCACACGCTCCCAAGATACCCGAGTGAGCCCCCTTATCATCTCCTCTACGTAGGGAAAGTATAACAAAGTCAAAAATAGGAATTTCACATTTTTGTAAGGATCAAACATAACAGTTACTGAATCTAAGATATCATAGTAAAAGATAAAATAGCTACAGGTAGCAGCTTAAATTACATTAGCACTTCGAGTAATTATATTGTATTATTACTAAATAAATTGAATGCAATGCATATTTTGATTATGGTACGTAAGGAAACTTGCTTTTAAAAAATGTGACCATATTGAACTGAACCAGGAATTAGGTAAAATAACATGGAAATTTTATTGATAGAATTCCTCCATCTCTGAATCTGGAAAAATATGGTACAAGATCAGAGATGAATGTAGAAATGAAATGTTGAAACAGAAAAAAAAAAAAAAAAAAAAAAAAAAAAAAAAAAAGATGAACGCTGTGACAAATTACACACTCCACAGATAATAGTATGAGATGTATAAAGAAAAAGAATGAATTTATTTTTGAAGTATTAAATCTGAACAGAACAGGGAGAAAATTCTCCTTCCAAGGGGTTTCATACAGCTCAATTCCTTGAAGCCTGCAGTTCAGAATGATAATCCCTTGTACTCTGCTATAACCACCTAACTAACATTATAACTCCTTTGTAACTAATTCTAAGAATCTGAAACTTCAAGGATCCTATCGATTTCCGCTCCTTGAACTTTCACCTTGTCCCCGAAGAGGATATTATGGATTCCCCTGCCTAGATTTACCGCTGTTTCTTTTCACACAATGCTTTCTCTTTAGGATAGACACATGTTAGGATCCAATTGCAAGGTATAACTTGAAAAAAGAGAATGATTTTATTATTATCATTCATACCTATTACATTTTCCTTACACCTATTTGTAACAATCTAATCTTCCAAAATAAGGAAATAAGGAAAAAATATGCTGAAAAATAAACTAGAAGATTCTACAGATATTTTCTCTAATTACGAAGATTTTCCTCTAATTACAACCCCCCCCCCCTCAAGTTGGTAAATGAATATCAATCATTCCCAACTTGCTTACAAGATCTTGAAATCTACCCTGAGGGAGCCCTTTTGTAAAGATATCTTCTATCTGAAGTTCTGTAGGAACATGAGTTGTAATCACAAAGCCTCTGTCTAGATTATCTTTAATGAAATGTCTATCAATCTCAATGTGTTTGGTCCTATCATGTTGTACTGGATTATGGACAATGCTCATGGCAGACGTATTGTCACAGTATAGTTGCACGGGGTTGTCCACCTTGACTTCAAGGTCATCCAAAATGATTTTCATCCAGAGTCCTTCCACATTCCTTGAGCAAGGGCTTGGAATTCAGCTTTTGCACTAGAACGAGATACTCTATCTTGCTTTTTGCTCCTCCACGTTACCAAACTATCTCCAAGAAATATACAATACCCAGAAGTAGATTTTCTGACAGTAATAGAACCTGCATAGTCAACATCAGTATATATTTTCATAGTCAATGTGTCTTCCCTTTTGAAGAATAGCCCCTTTCTTGGACTTGACTTCAAGTACAGGAGAATTTTGTCAACTGCTTGCATGTGTCTCTCTCTTAGATCATGCATAAATTGGCTTACTACACTAACTGCATAAGCAATGTCTGGTCTTGTGTGTGATAGATAAATCAATTTTCCTATCAATCTCTGATATTGGGCCTTCTCTACAGGAGCACTTTCTTCACTTCCAATCCTGTGATTCTGTTCTATAGAAACTGTTGAGGTTCTACATCCCAGCTTTCCTGTTTCTTTGAAGAGATCAAGTACATATTTCCTTTGAGAGATGAAAATTCCCTTCTTGGAGTAAGCAACCTCTATTCCAAGAAAATACTTGAGTTTTCCTAGGTTTTTCATTTCAAATTGGGCTGCCAATTTTTTTTTTTAATGCCAATTTTTCTGTTTCATCATCTCCTGCAATAATCATATCATCCACATAAACAAGCAATAGAGTGAGTTTACCTGTAGAAGAGTGCTTTATGAATAGAGTATGATCTCCTTGGCTTTGTCTGTATCCCAAGGAAACCATTGCTTTTGTAAATCTTTCAAACCATGCTCTAGGGGATTGCTTAAGACCATACAATGCTTTCTTTAGAAGACATACCTTGTTTCTTTCATTTTGCACTTCAAAACCTGGGAGAATCTCCATGTACACTTCCTCTTCCAGATTTTCATGAAGAAAGGCATTTTTCACATCTAACTGGTGTAAGTCCCAACCAAAATGAGCAGCCAAAGCGAGAACAACTCGAATTGTATTCATCTTTGTCACTGGGGCAAACGTCTCCTCATAGTCAATCCCATAAGTTTGGGTATAGCCTTTTGCCACAAATCTAACTTTATATCTTTCTATTGTCCCATCTGCCTTATGTTTCACTGTGAATATCCATCTACATCCTATTGTCTTCTTGTCTCTTGGTTTATCAAGAATCTCCTAAGTTGAATTTCTTTCTAATGCATTCATCTCTTCTTTCATGGCTTGAGTCCAATGTTCAAGTTTCATGACCTCCTGGATTGACGTAGGAATTTCTGTGGCATCAATGGCAGCAATAAAGTTTTTGTGCTTATCAGAGAGATTGTTAGTGCAAACATATCGAGAAATAGGATATTTAGCACATGACCTTCTTTCCTTTCTTAATATAATGGGTAAATCCTCAGTAATACTTACCTCCTCACTATTATCTTCAGGGATCCTCACCTCCGGATTAGACAATTTTTCTTGCTCGAGGGTCAAAGTGGGTGGTTGTTTTCTTCTTTCATATTTTTTGCCAAAAAATTTGTCTTCTTCCTCTTCTTTCGCTTCTTCCTCGCTGTGGACCATGGTAGCTTCACTGCTCAGATCTTGGGCATCTTGCAAAGACAAATATGGTAATGACAAGAAGGAGAGCTCCTCCACTTCAAGTGCTTTCTCCCCCTGAAGTGGTGGACTGGCATAAAAAGATTGGGTTTCATGAAAGGTGACATCCATGGTAATAAAGACTCAACGACTCTGAGGATGATAACATTTGTACCCTTTTTTATTAGAAAGATACCCAATGAAGACACATTTAAGAGCTTTGGAAGATATCTGTAGAATCTTTTAGTTTATTTTTCAGCATATTTTTTCTTTATTTCCTTATTTTGGAAGATTAGATTGTTACAAATAAGTGTAAGGAAAATGTAATAGGTACGAATGATAATAATAAAATCATTCTCTTTTTCCAAGTTGGTATCAGAGCTCCCGATCTTGGGAGCTCCGTTTCCGCTGCAACAGTAGCCACCACTGCCACTGTCCAGCCACTGCGACTGCCGCCGTCACCGTAGGGGTCGTTGATAGGGCAGAAAGGTGTGCCCTCCTCCAGCGAACACAACGCCAGAAATCGCTCTAGGAAAGACGCCGCCACGTGCCACCGCTATCATCGGGGCATGTAACCCATGCGCCTAGCTCCGGCGAGACCCACTCACTGCCGCTATCACAGAACCGATCGCCAGAGCCTCCTAAGTGCATTCCACGGGTCGGTGACGTCCCATTTGGCTTAGATCCTAGTAGATCTGAGTTTTTTGAGTTTTTTCTCCTTTTCCGGTGTAGCCCACTCATCGTTGTCGCCACAGACAGAGTCGCCAAATCAATCCACTACGTCACCACCATCACATCTTGAGATGAAAGCTTTCAAAGAGGAACTATATCGTTTGAAAGCAATGATTGAATCAATAAGTAAGTCCTCTGGACCATGTACTCTGTCCATGAAAGGTAAGAGTTCTCTCCATATTGTGGGTCCTATGTCTCAAGGTATTTGGATTCTTGATTCAGGAGCAACTGATCATATGACACCTTTTCGTATGATCTTCAAATCATATATTAAAAGGAATAGAGAACAACTTATTACAGTTGCGAAAGGTCAAGGTGTACCCATATGCGGCTCTGGGAATATAATTTTGGAATCATCTATTGTATTAAAGGATGTTTTACATGTTCCACAATTAGCCAATAATCTTATCTCTATGCAAAAGCTCACAAAAGATTTAAATTGTTCAGTAACATTTTTCTCGACTTATAGTGTTTTTCAGGACCTTGCTACAGGGAAGACAATTTTAACTGTTAAGGAGCAGAGTGGGTTGTATCTGTTGGAATATGATGACCAAAACAAAACAAAAATCATGAGTCAACAAGCTACATCTGAGACGTGGACAAATTCCCAAATATGGCTACATCATAAAAGGCTTGGGCATCCTTCATTCAACCTTATCAAGTCCTTATTTCCTCATTTGTTTACTAAGGAGTCTGTTAAGTCTTCTAATTGTGATATTTGTCAATTGTCAAAACACCATCGTGCATCCTATCCTATTAGTAATAAAAAGAGTACTTCTCCATTTGATTTAATTCACTCTAACGTTTGGAGACCTGTCGTAGAATTTATTTCCGGAGCCAAATGGTTCATTATCTTCATTGACGATTGTACCCGTGTCACATGGACATACCTTATGAAAAATAAATCATAAGTTTTCCAAATCTTTGTTAATTTTTTCCAAAATCAATTTGGAAAAAATATGCTGAAAAATAAACTAGAAGATTCTACAGATATTTTCTCTAATTATGAAGATTTTCCTCTAATTACAACAGTATAAGACTCGATTCATGACATTCTTGTGTGGGGTTTACAAAGCCTTAGACTCTCCAACTACACTAGCTAGCTTTTATGTAGTTTTTCCATGGTTCTTATCAACCAGTATCAGAACCTTTCACAATGCATCTCAACTGCTAATAAGAAGTGCATATAGTGACACCGGCATTGCAGTATTTTCCCGGGACTAATCAAAGGGCTAATAATGCACAGCCAACCTGGGTGGGTGCTAGGGCATGTGGAATGTTAGGATTCAATTGAAAGGTATAAAGATTTGGGTACCACGTTGGAAGTATGGGATTCTAGCCTGGCTTTGTAAGGCATTGGGCTCTCCAACTATAATGGCTAGCTTTAGTGGTGTGGTTCTCCCAAGATTCTTATCAACACCACTACTAAGAGCATGTTTGGGAAAGATTAATTTTCCCACTTTCAGCTGTTTTTTCAAGAAAAAAAGCTGTTTGCAAAATAAGTTGTATATTTGGGACAACAACCTAAATTTGTAAATAACTTCTTTTTTTTCTGAAAATAAGCTATTTTCATGAAGCTAGAAATTTAAAGCTTACGATAATTTCTCTAGCTTTTTTTCTTTTTAAGATGAATTACTATATAAAACTGATTTTTTCTTGTATCCAAACGTAATTAAACATTTAAAACTTGCTTTTCAGCAAATTTACCCAAGCACACCCTAATTATCAATCAGAACAACACGGCTACCATCCTAAACATGTAATCTATGATAAAAGTCATCGTCTTCCTAAGTACGTCATACTACATTCAGCAGGAGCAATACAGAAAGACAACATAAATCAACATTACATTACGAAATGGATAAAGCATTTTTAAAATAAGGAATAACCTTCTAAGTCGATTATTTGTCCTCCAATATTAGAAGATGTTTTATTGTGAATGTCATCAGCAGTCTCTCCTTCAACATAAACAATGTGTGGGTATCTCTCATCAATTACAAGAAGATTGGACTAGCACAACAGAAGGAACAGGATTTAGTCTCGGAAATCAGGAAAAAAATTAAGACTATTATCAAAAACTCTATACCTTTGGAAGTTCATGTTGACGACGAATTGATGAGGTACGCCATCCTACCATATCTTAAAGATAAGTCAAGAAATATCAGAACATGAAAAGCACTTCTTTATCTTAAAGAATGATCTGCAATATTGTGCCAATTTATGGTTTTAGTTAAATTACTAATTTTCTAGCCAAGGTGATATTGAAGTGTAGCTGTCTACAAGTTCTTTATAATAGCACATACAAACTGCATCTCTGCTAATATTGACACGTGGTTGACTCCTCTAGATTCATCATTAGGCTTAACTGCTTAAGCTTATATGGTCAAATATGAATTACTATTTAAAACATAACTTAAAAAGAGGATACGATCATAATTAGCATTTGCATAAGCCACTCGACGCTTAAATGCACGTAAAGCTGACCTACACCATCACAAAAAACTAGATAGTCAATAATACAGAAGCAAATATTAGCAATGGAAGAGCTTAACCGATACTTTAATACTAACATAAACTTTAAGTCGTCAGAGTCATTAACCATTCGCAGGAGCAGAGGACGCTTTCCATCATCATTGTCCATAAGGAAGAGATGCTTCCCAGATCTCCCTGCAACTAAATGTGCAGTTTCGGATGCTCTTCGCTCAAGAAAAGGAAGGCCGCATAGAAATGGAAGCTACAAGAACCAAACGATAAAAGCGGTAAGAGACAATATTGCAAGACCAATTATACACTTCAAATCTAACTAGAATCAATGAAAAAATTAACAAACCCAATCACAGCATAATGGTGTTTCCCTGCAACTAGTCCATGGAAAATTAAAAAGATGCAAAGCAACTCTATTTTGTGCTTGTTCACACAAATATTTAGAACTATCCATAACACCATTAATCTAAGGAAAGTGAGTTACAGCAAAATATGAAAAACCTTTATCCCTTATAATGCTAATTGAATATTTTCCCCTTTTGTACATTTTCAGAAAATGTTGTAACTTGATTCACTACTATATGGAGAAGGCAATAAATAGGAAAAAAATACACTGCCTTTATATAAGATTTTAACTTTCAACTAATTAAGTCCATTTTGCATTACCAAACTTTCAAATTTCAAGAATGTCTTTGAATATCCATATGCAATAACCTTTCACATAGACCTATGAAGATGTCTAATAGGGACTTGGGTATTATCGGTTCCTAAGTCCCACTTGGGATGCTCGATGGAGCACTTAAGTGGTTTGGTACTCCCCACCTGACAACTAAATTTTAAGGGAGGGTTCCCCAAGTGATTATGCTAATCAATTGGTAACAGAGCTTGTTGCTAGTGTCTTTGAAAGAGCTGCCTATGGAGGGGTTGACCAGAATTGTAGAGTGCAGGCACTGGGTTGTCTCAAGGGCAGTGTTGTGATAGGGACTTGGGTATTAATATTATGGGGTGCCTAAGTCTCACATCATCGGGCAGTATGGGATGCTCGATGGATTACTAAGTGGCTTGGTTCTCCCCTTTGATGAACTAGCTTTTTAAAGGGAGGATTCCCCCAAGTGTTTGGGTGCTTATCAATATCTAATGGAAAAAATGTACAATTACAACCAAGACAAATTCAGCACAAAAATATCTTTCTTGTCATCACACTTATAAACTGACAATCAGAAATTCTAAATATTACTCCCTCCCATCTCGAATTTAAGCCAAAAAAACCTCACGTATGTTGGTCTCAAATATAAGTAAATCCCAACTAATTTCACTTTATTTAATTATACCATTCCCAAAATATCTCTTCATTTAACTAAGATTGTATTTCCAATGATTCTTTTTCATTCTTGAAATCATGTTCCAATGAAGGCTAGTTTAGGAAAATGAATTACTTCTTAAATGGGGTTAGTCAAATTGAATGGCATTAACATTAACTAACTTTCTTACTTAGCCTAAATTATTTTTTCGTCCTCTTATTTTTGAGAGCAAAGGGAGTAAAAGACATACCTAAAATAATACTAATCTCCAGTTGATGGCTCTGAAATCATATGGACCAAATCACTTTCAAATTTAAAGTGTCTTTCAGGAAATAAAAAGGAACTAACTTTAATGATTTCACTAATTATAGAGTTTGCACTCAAATGCTATCATCCATGTGCACGTATCTTGCAAAAAAACATTGAAATGCCAAAATATTTTAAGTCTGACAATTGAAGTAGTTACTTGAAACAACAGACAAAAAGAACATTACAGCTGTTCATAGCAAACTTAAGCTACCTGTTTATTTCCTCTTGAACCAAGATGTGGTGTTGCAAATGTTATAAAGTTCATGGGCTCTAAACCAGCAATTTTGGCTTCATAACTCTGTTCAAGGCATTGCTTTGAATATTCAGTCTCTTCACTGAAACAGTTTCTACCAGAACCAATAAGTGCCAATGTTGAAGAATAATCATAAAGTCTCCCAATAGCATATCTTGCAACCAAGCCACCTAGAGAATGCGCCACAAATGATATCTTCTGCACCTCTGGCCAACGTCTAACAACAGATAATACCTGCATAAATATGAATTAAAACTGAAGATTTAGATGTGACTGAGTCGTTGCAAAGCCAACACTGTAAATGAAAATTAAGTGAAGTATGAGAGATTAAGATGTGCAAAGAGAACATAAAAATGATGATAATATATTATTATTATTACCAAAATACCTCTTCAGCTAGTCTCTCGCCCATTGTATCAACACCATCAAACGTCAATTTTGAAGAATTGCATTCACTGCCTGTCCACAAATTATCAAGCAAATGCAATTAATGTTTTTCTTTATAAACAACACAAAAAATAATAAAATTAAGTAAAGGATTGGTGGAAATGGCAATGTCAGGGCCAGAATCGGACGAATAATAAAGCAGGATGATTTAACATTTAAGAAATTAAAAAAATGTTGATAAATTTCTTCAACCAAACATCTTTTGTTTGTTTAAGATGTTTTACATCATCTAGATCAAAGGGAAAGACCAAAAGAATTTATGCAATAAGCGAAACTAGAACCTTGAATCTTGAAACGATCCATTCATTACCGCACAACTTAGTGACTTACAAATTGATCATAAACCAAACATGAAAATTAAGAACTCGATGATACAATACATTTCAAATTCCACCAAATTATCAACAATTTTCAGAAGCAGAGGAAACGGAGCAGCTAAATTTTGACAGAGTTGGAAATGCTTACGGTGTACAATCACTTTGTCTGGAAGCCTTTTCACAAACTGTTCTGCAGCATATCTCCAATCAGCAGCACTGGAATATCAAAGTACATTTCACCGTAACAGGAGCCCCTCAACACAGAATGTTTTTATTACCCACAGAATCTATTACCAAAAATCTAATGATCTTCCATGCTCAGAAAACATACAAGAAAATGTAGAATATGTATTCATAACTGAATTAACTTACTAACACAAGCAGAGAATCCAATCATCTATAACTCACAATGAGTAGACAGAAATGAAATTCTGCTGGATAAATAAATTTTTGAGCTAAAATCCCAGTTCCAGTCTTCAAAATGATACAAGTAAAAGATAACAATAAACTATGATAATAATTATGGACTCATTCTGAAAAAAAAATGATACATGAAACTAAAGCAAAGCCCTAAAATGCAGTTAAATATTAGGACAATTATATTAACTAATACCTTTAATTACACCTCTATCATTCTTGATCAAAGAATTTCACCCTTCCCTTGCATTTCTATACTATTAGCTTTATTTTTAGCAAATAAAAATAAGGGAGGTATGTGCAACTTTTGTAAAAATAACAAGTGTGAAGTTGGGAATATGGCATTTCCATGTTTGTTACAAGTTTTAAAAGTACTCCCTATGTCCCACAATCTCTTTCCGTCTTACAATAACTGCAGTTTAAGGTTTATCCACAAAAATCAGGAATAATAATAAATGTATCACCTTTTGATATAATTTTACTAAAATAACTCACCCATAAATACATCACTTTTAATTGTGGAAACCCAATAATTTATGAAACAACAAGTTAGGAGAAAAAAATAATTAATATTACATTGAAAAATAATAACATCATTCAATTTGGAACATTTTCTAAATGCTAAAAATAATTAATTTTCATATGGCAGTCTATTCCCAAGCTTGAGACCCGCTGATTTCACTAGTCCTTAGAGCAACAGTGTCGGTGACGGTTGGCTTTATATGATCTCAGTTATTCCTAAAATTTGACTTTGTTTCCACTCCTACGAACCTCGGGGTCTCACTCTGACGTCTCGAAATTTGAAAAATATTCCCATAAATACTAACGTGCAACCAAACACGTCTTTTAATTTACCCAATTGAGGGAACAAAATTACATATCTGGGAACAAGCGACACCCAAGTGTAACGAAGTGTAAAAGGTTACCTCCCAACGATTCCGTTAACCATTATAACAAGGTGATGAGGAGCCGTCTTGGGCGTGGCGGCGGCGGCGGCGTCGAACACGTCCTGGCCGGCGGCGTGGGCCTCCGCCCTGAAGCAGCCGCGGCCCATTCGGCGGAGGAGTTCCATTTTGAGGGGGAGTCTGGGCCCGGCGGGTCTGGATCCCGGGCGGAAGCAGGCAGGGGAGAAGAGTGACCGGGCCGGGTGGCGGGTGGGTATGGGGGGCTTGGGTCGGAGCACTGAACCGGAGTCTGAGGACAGCATGAAAGAGGTTTAATGTTTGCTGTGCAGAGAAAAGGAACACGCGGATGGAGATGTTGGAATTTGATTCGGTGAAACCTTTTTGGCTGTGGTGGCTTGAGAACGAAGGGACCGGGGCAGTTCAACCAATGCTTCCTTGGTCAACGCTGAGTGAGAAGAATAGTATTGTTTTATTTCAACTTCAACCCCTGCCTCTGCATTAATTATTAACTGACCATTTCAACTTACATCGTCACGTTTCAAGATAAGCCTGCCTTTCTAAATTTAGAATGCATGTATAGATATGCCTCATAAGACTGATTTCTAATTTGTATACCCTTGCTGGGAATTTACGAAAAATATTTTTAATATCATACATCATTTGTAATAATTAATAATGATCCACAAATAAATAAATATATATATATATATATACTTATATGATTAATTTTTATTGATATTAAAATAATATTTGGTATAGATTTGAGATGTCTAATAAATCATATAAATGAGAAATAAACGATAAACATCGAAGTATATAAAGAACAAAAAAAAACTATGTTTAAACATATAATTAGGTAAGTGAAGTGAGTACACAAGTAATTGAAAAAATAATGAAAAAAAAATAATTAATCTAAAGTATTTAAATATTTATATCAAAATTACACAATTGTAATACTTTAAGAATAAAAATGCAATTAAGTCATTATAATATATAAAATTGATCACATTTATTAACAACGAATTGGGATACATCTCGGCAGTTGATTTTTGGGATGACTTTCATACATAATTATTTAACATAAATTAGTAATAAATTGGATATTTTTTTTTGTACAATGTATGATTTTTATATCTAATTCAATTGGATGACTTTTTAATTTACTTATTTAGTATCATAATTATATTTATTAATTTATTAAAAAATTAATAAATCAAAATTTTACATTTTCAAGTTTATAAAATGTATTCCCAGCATAATGAAATTTATTATTATGATCATAATATATTAACTAAAATAATGTATCAATTAAACAAGTTATATAAAAAAGAGTTAAATATCTTTATCCTAAATTAGAAAGACTAAAAACATATTTAAACCTAAAAAAAATATAACAAATTACTATAATTGTCTACTAATAACGTGACATAAATCATATTTTGAACCTCATTATTTTAAATATATTATTATCATCATAATATATTAATTAAAATATTCAACCAATTAAAACACATTAAATTCGAATAATATACCAATTAAAACACATTAAATGTAAACATCTAAAATAAATTTCCTTATAAAAAAAATACTACCTAAAATTATGATAATTTTTTTTGGTAATAACGTAACATATATATTAAATAACAATTTTGTAAGATTCACTCTAATTAACGTTTATTTTTATTAAGATAAAAAAAACATATATAAAATTATTAATTTATTATTCATGAAATAATGTATGTCTATGTTTTAATAATAAATTCATAAATTTAATATTAGTCATAGTAATATTTTTACTTTTAATTATTTGTGTAGTAAAATTAATTATATTTACACCCATAATTAATTATGTATGTTGATTTAGACTTTTTTTTATAATAATATTCAGTTATTTGTTTATTTATTTAAATAACTTGAATAAGATTTTAAAAATAAATTTCAAAATCTCATTGAGAAATCGGTTAATAACCGATTTCTCATGGGCCTTTTCTTGTTTTGTTTTAAAAAAATAAATATAAATTAAATTATTATTAATTTTAGAATATGAAAAATATATTTAATATTTAAATTATATTTTTTTT